TACTAGTAATGTAGCATATATTTGAGATTCTCCTTCACATAAATTTCACTAGAAGGGGATCATTCATTTGGTGTACAGTCCCGTTTTCCCTCATATTGTCTCTATTTGTACAGTACTGCTTGCCTTGGCTAGTTGAAATTTGACCAGGTTTTATGAAATGAACTGGAATGTACCATGCCTTCTGTCTTTTTTACTGTGTGTAACCTTTATATTGTACGTCTGTTTGTTGTTTCTGAACATAGTACTTTTTACACTTTTTAAATAATGATGTTTTGTGTTTGTTTCTGGAATCCTGAGTTTTAAGTTCATGTTTGCTTGCAAACATTATCTCAGGTTTGAACAGTATAAAAGAATGAATAAGTTTATAAATTTATTAGTGCTTTATAAAGTTTAAAACTTTACTGCTAAACTCAGAAAAAAATATAAGGTAAATACTTATTTATTAAATTAATCAGTTTAAGCAATTAAGAAAACAGTTATGAATCATTTTTCTAAACAACATTTGTTTCTTTCAGGTATGATTCTTTCGATTGTATCTATTCTTTTTGCTGGATATCTGGCCTCCTGTAGCAAGGTAAGTTTTTATATCAATTCAAACCCTATCCTGCTATTTATTATAAGTGAAACAGTATGCTTAATTTAATGAAAATGTGAAAACGATATTACTCAATAATTAAATCTTACAGTTTTCTTTCTATTTTCAGATTTGTAATTATAAGCTAGGTTTTGATTGTAATTATGTTTATATTGATATTTATTGTAGGGATCTGCTTCTGCAGAAACAACTGCTGTACTTCTAGGAGGTATTTATGGTAAGTTTTTCTTATTTTATTCTTATTCAATAAAGAAACAAAAATATACACTTCTGTAGAACACAAGATATTTGTTTATTTAATTCTATATAAACATTAATACTTTACATTGTTTTATTTTCAAATATATAAATTAGATTATTATGATTGAATTAAAATAGTTTGAAAAATATTATGATTAATAAAAAAAAACTCACCAGAGACTTATTTTTAATGGAAACCTTCAACTTTTAAATATATATAATCATAATATGTAAGTTTTTATGTTCTCAAATAATGTTTAAACATTTACTTAAATATTTCAGCTAGACAGAAACATTAATGAATCATATTAAAATTATATTTAAGATGGGGGGAAAACTGAATCATATCCCTGTGATGTGGCAATAGGAGATATTGGTTATCTAAGAGGACTAGGTAAACATACTTTTGTAAAGAATATATCTTGAGCTAAAAATTCAAATAAAGTTAAAAACAAACATAAATAATATTATGTAGGTTACTACGAGAAAATCAAATTTAAATATACAATTTAAATTTATCACAGACTTATAAATAAATTTATTTTAAAATATGGAATTCCTATGATTTATAGAACAAAATATAATTTATTTTCTAACTATAAGATCATAAGAAAATAAATGTATCTATTTTGTATAATACATTGGTTTTAATAAAGGTGTATTTTTATTCAGCTAATTATATTAATACATTGTAGGAGCTGCAGTTCTGAATGGACAGATTGTTTACTGCGGGGGAGAAGATGCTGATGGCGGTATGCAACTTAGGAGTTGATACATAAAGTTTAATTACATTATTACTTTTATTAATATTTAAACCACCTATCTATTACTTAATGATTAAATCCATATTCAAAGTTTCCCTATTAAAACAGATGATTAAGGATGATAATTTAGACATTTTATATTGGAAATTCTTGAACATTTAGGTTTTATATTTTAGAAATAATCACTGTAAAAAAAGTAACTTAACACCTTCTA